GAGAGAGAGAGAGAGAGAGAGAGAGAGAGAGAGAGAGAGAGAGAGAGAGAGAGAGTGAGTGAGTGAGAGTGAGGGGGGGATAGGGGACCATATAGTACTGATAAAATAATTCAAGACACAATTACTTTGTTTTTACGCGCAAACAGCAAGTAATTATAAGTATTACGCAATCTGATAGGCTAATTTGCCGTTGCCGATAAGGGTAAATACAATGCTGCTCCTGTCAACGTGTCACGCATCGTGTCGCGCACTGAAAGAATCGTTCAATTTGACGTCGACATTGTGGCTGCGCCTCATGAATCCACAACATTTTGACCACTGTGACGGATGACGAACATCATTGTCAAGTACAGCGTACAGACCACCCTAAAATCAAAGTCGATTTGTTAAGTTTCCCTATTCTATAACTTTCTAACGGGCATCCATTTTTTATTCACTCATTCAATATGGTTGAATCTGACAGTCCGCCATCTCTCGAACTAAATGTCATTTCTTTTGGGTATACTATACAGAGACTAACTATGAGCCCAGAAGACCTCCTCGGTAATTTGGACTGTTTTTCGTTATCCTTAACATTTCAACGACCAAATTCTTACAAGTAAGTCTCTATGGAAGTCATCTGAGCGACAACTTTAAAGAACTCAAAAACTAGGAAGTTTTTTTCATGTAGAAAACTACCTATGTCAGCTTTCTTCAAAGCTGGAGAATCATTGACACCATCTCCTGTCACAGCGACAATGGATCCCTGTCGCTGGCAGCCTTCTACAATGATCAGTTTCTGCTGTGGAGAGGTCCTGGCAAATACAATTTCTGTGTGGTTCTTCAAGATATCATCTAGCTGTTCACTTGAGACATCCTGACGAAAAAAAAAAAAAAGGCAATTAAGAGAACTGACGATTAGCACTGAATGAGTACAACACCTTGTGATGAGGATGTACCGTGCATTCTGAGTCCGTTTGTTCCAGCTTAAATATGATGTTCAGTCAAATAACACAAATACAGGAGAGGTTGAGCGAAATTGGTCTCAGCATTGAGGTAAGTCGAAAACTAAGCGCTGTGGCACGAGTGTTTCTTATTTGCCCGTGAGCAAGTATGAGGCCTCAAATAATGTGAGCCAGTACGAGGTCTGCAGGAGTCTGGTGCCTGACATCCGGAATCTGATACTTTCACTGACTTGTTTTGAATCTTCCCGCCTTATGAAGGCCTAGCCTGATGAATGGCCTACTGAAGTCTTGCTCGCAAGCTAACGGTACACAGGAGATGACAAAAATTGAACTTATTGCCGTCTGCTTTCAGGTGTTTAACCACTTAAACGAAAATATTTGTGATCTTCGAAATTTTTTGCTTTTCTCCACAGGGTTTCTATAAATGTTATGTGTAAACCCATTTACGTTAATGAAGTCACAATCTAAAGGGAAAACATACCGAGACCTCAATTAGCACAACAGCAACAACAATAAAATTAACATTAGTGACAGTAACGGCTACCTTAAGCTGTCCTCCGTGTACAACGATGGCCTTTGCATCACGCGGATTCACATCAGCCACTGGGACACCCAGCCTCTCGGCTATGTCCTCCACAGTTTCTGTCTCTGTAGAATGGTTCAAAGGCAAGTTATGTTGAGTATCTTTCCTTAGATTACAATTTTGAGAGTCGGAGTGTAAGTAAAGGACCGCTGCAACTTTTTTTTCAGGCTTTACAAATACGTACCTTCAGATATGATTCCTACGCCTCTTGCGATGGCCTTGGCTGTGATTGGATGATCACCTGTAACCATGATGACTTTGATTCCTGCACTGCGGCATTTGCTGACCGCATCAGGAACAGCAGCACGAGGAGGATCAATCATGGACATTAAGCCAACAAAGCACAAGTCTTCCAGAGGAAAATTGGGGGGCTGCAAGCAGAAACCAAAACAATATACAGCATTATATCTTTCAAGGATTATATAAAAGTAAACGGCTGGAACACTTTCATAAACTCCTTTGTTATTACGTTTTGTCAGCTACTGTGCTGTGGTCTTGACAAGTGAGTGATTTACAAAAAGAAATTACTTCCCTAGATTCGCTTATTTCCTTTACAGTTTGGTTGCCACTAAGCGGAGAGAGGTAACTTGTCACTCCCGACTCCCTTGGGAGATTTTGTTAGTCACACGACGCCTTTAAGCTTGAATCGCCATGTGCTCGGGTGAGCGAGTGTTTTCAGTTTTTTATATAGGAGAGAGTTTAAAAGAAGTTATTGTGCCTTTCTTTGGCTAAAAGCGAATGGTTCGGTGAGTCGATATTTGGTTTTTGTTGTTCGGAGATGTATTTGAAGCTTAATGCCTTCTTTTGTTTGTAATTTTCAGAAAACCACTCACTTATATTCATTGACCGAGGCCGTGTGGCCAATGTACGAGTTTTCGATGTTTGTTTAAATTTTCGAATAAACATAAGTACCATGGCACTGACACAACTCGAGGGTTCATTGTCTTGGCCGATAACACTACACAGAGACCCAGGCAGGATTCAGACTCTTCAATTTTGAGATGTGGAGTTAAGTAAATTGGACCCCCTGTTAATAACTAGTAAGATTACAGATCGGATCGGACTCCAATCTCCTATGAGTATTAAATGTATAAACCTTAATTGCTGGTTTAACATATAATTCGCGCGGATATTTTGCTAGTTGCGTAAAGCAGAGGAAAAACACGAATAAGTTCCGTTGTCCTGTTATAGTAAAATGGCATAAAGTAAAAAATGAATGGTGTAGAAAGATGGCCCAATTTGAACTTGAACTTACCTCATCGCATACAAACCCAAATCCTCGTGGAAATTTTTCAGCATCCAGGTAAAAGTGGCAAAAACCCAACACACGCTCTCCCATTCCACCCAATTCCAAGTACGCTCTCTCAAAGGCTTCTTTCAAGGCCTCGTCTAATGGCTCTTCTTTTCCGTTTAGAAGAATTGTGGAACAGCGATCTAAAATTCTCTCTGGAGCACCCTTCATCACCAGAAGATAGCGAGGATCCTCATTTCCTTCCTGTTCGTGAATGGACACTTGGTATTTGTTGGTGGAGTTGAATGGAATTTCTGCTACCTTTTTGTTGTTCTCGCGCATTTTAACCACATTTCCTACTTGTAGTTCGATGCATTTCAGTAAAGCAGATTCTGAGGCATCTCCATTTGTCTCTCTGTTGAAAAAAAGAACAAAATATTTTTAATTCAACTTGTAACAGTGTTCTTAAATTTTTTTTTTCTCTCTCTCTCTCTCTCTCTCTCTCCTCTCTCTCTGTCTCTGTCTCTCTGTCTCTCCTCTCTCTCTCCTCTCTCTCTCTCTGTCTCTATCTCTGTATCTCTCTCTCTCTGTCCCTGTCTGTCTCTCTCTCTCTCTTTGTCTCTCTCTCTGTCTCTCTCTCTGTCTCTGTCTCTCTCTCTGTCTCTCTCTCTGTCTCTGTCTCTGTCTCTCTCTCTCTCTCTCTCTCTCTCTCTTCTCTCTTTCTCTCTCTCCTCTCTCTCTTCTCTCTCTCTTCTCTAATATCCAGATTATTTCGTTACTCCCACCAATGCAGCCCCAAACGAGACATTTCTATTGCCCCATTTCCACTCCCTTAAAATTAGGAAGCCAAAGCCTCTTACCTTTTGAGTATGGGTACACCGCCTTGATCTGCCTTAAATTCAGCACGATTGCATAAACCTGCCACTTTAGAGAGAGCAGACCAGGTTTCTGTCTGTTAGAACAGAGGGCAAAATTGTTACTTAAAATTACAAAATTGTCATTTAACAGTCAACTGTTAAATGGGAATGCAAGAGCCAGCTTGAAAGCTAAACAGACGATGATAGACGTTCGCCGTACCGTTTGCCATACATTTCCTTTGGTGCTGACAAGGAGAATTTGTTTAAAACAATGAAGAGCCTCTTTAGTTGGTGATCACTTCCTTTATACTTGTGAGCTTTACTTTTGATGCAGCGTTGCTATTATAAGGGTAAGAAATTTAGTGGTGAACAATAGAAACAATAGAGTGTTTATTTCTCAGAACTATCGGTCTGATAATTTGGATATATCAACAAAGTTGAAATGGTAAATTGGCCACCGTAATGATTACAAAAGCTGACGTTTCGAGCGTTAGCCCTTCGTCGGAGCCAATAGAGGAATTGTGGGTTGTGTGTGCTTTTAAAGGCAGAAAATGGAGCTACGTTATTGGTGGGAGCATGGCAACGAGAAAAACATGAATAAATTAGTGGAATGAAAGAAGTAAAGAAAGCCAATGCAATTCCATAATTATCTTCGACACTCGGATGAAAATTGTTTTATCATATTTTTTCATAGCTGATGGATTACAAATCGTCTTTGAAAAAGGCCACTTCTGTGTTGGATTATCTGACTCGAGTTATCATCACAAAATGTCCGCACATCGCCGCTTTGGGAGACGATCTCAGATATGTGGAAAAAGCATCAAAAGGTGTGAATGTAAAAGCATTTTTAACTTACAGCTGAAATCAGACATAAGTAGGGTTTTATTCGAAAACTATTAAATTTGAAATCCTTGTCTAACAGTACCTCAACTTCTCAACTTTTTGTAAGTATTTTATTCCCACTCGGTCGCGTACAAAGCTCGAATGGAGCTTGATGGGTTTAAAAACGTGGTGTTTAACAGGATAACGAGTTCAAAGGCCTTACGTGCCGTTCTCTATGAATATTCTACTTCGTGTTACATTCCAAGTGATATACGATTCTTAATTAGCCTTGTTTCCCGACTTTTCAGTTCCATTTCATTCTCTTGACAAGGAAATATGCAAGCTGTCTACAGAAATTGAGGTAAAACGACGAGTTTGTGTAGTTCTCACTTGAAGTTCTTTGATTTTAACGTGTATGAAATAAAACTGCCTTGTTGGATTTTAATTATTTCAATTCACAGGTCCTTGAAGAAGACGTAGAGAAAATAAACAACGATAGTGTAGAGGAAGACTGTTTCAGTACAAGTATTAGAGTATCCTTCAAAGCTGAAGATCAGACGTGGATGGTCTACTCCATACAAACAGTGGATGATGCACATACAATCTTGGCGGAGTGGGGGGGA